TATATATTGCTTATATTATTTAATGGAGAATAAAAACAGTTGTATGTTATGTGAACATTATGTAAATATATTACCTATTCATCATGATAACCATAGGAACTAGTCTCACATATGGAACTCCAAGCGGCCAGAAAGAAAATTTTAGATGAACAATATTTTACTAATAATTTTAAAATTGAATTAACATATATATGAGAGAGAGAGAAACTGGTAATTGTCTGTATAATATCTATTATTTAAAACGTAACATATAATATCAATTAATAGTATTTTGAACCAATATAAAATATATTTTAGCGCAATCGAATCAGTCAGTTTGGGTTCTTTCTAAAAAAGGACGCTACTATTGAGGTGTGAAACTGAAGTACGCTAGACTGATTAGCTACTAGCGTCTTCAAGGTTTTCACGCGTGAAAGCTGAGCTCAGCAGCAGCACAAGCATTTTTGGCGTACTTACGCCTTGCTATTGTTGCCAGGCAACTGTAGGCGGAAAGTCGGGAGGTGAGGAGTGTCGCTCACCTCGAACAAAAAGTCGTCCTTCTCTTCGCTTTCGTTTTCTGAATTCAGGGGAAGTTCGTTCCAGATATCATAGCCAGCCTCCTCAGCATCTGCGGGATTAAATAAATCTGTCAGTTACAGCATTTAAAATACTTTTAGTGGACATTGTTCGACATATTTTTATTCATGATTTTACATAGATGGTTATTATAAAGTCAGTTGGCCTAGCTTACTGTGCATAACCCGAAAACTGCTCACCAAAGAGCAATAATATTTGGTAAGATGAGATAGAGACGATTCCATTATTAACAAATAATTCCCACTAGGAGGTGCTGTAGTGTAATTTGCATACTGGTGGCTGCTGTTGTTGTTGTTGTTGTTTTAGCGCTAAACTATACAATGGGCTATCTGCACTCTGTCCACCGCGGATAATCTAACCATAAATTTTAGAGTTGTATATCCGTAAACTAAACTGTTGACTGCATAAAAACAGCACCGAACATGTTAAGTTCATTATGCCACCAGAAATTACTCCTGGCATTATATCTTATTAACATCAGAATTGTTCTCGTACAGCATTACTACACCCATGGTAATAATGCAGGTGCAACATTAAAGTAATATCGACGTGAAAGCGGCGTATAGAGTGAACAACTAGCAATGAGGCTTACAAACAAACAAACAAAAGGATAGGTTGTTGATGTAACTCGGAACATGCTCTCATTCCTACACTTTGTAAGAAGAGGAGCTTTACATGTTGGGGCTCCATCCCACATTATACTTACTATCAATATATTGCTGGGTTTGGTTTGTTTGTTTGGAAGTTCGCGCAAAGCTACACGAAGGATATCTGCGCTAGCTGTGCCTAATTTAGCAGTGAAAGACTAGAGGGAACAGCTAGTCATCATCATCAACCGCCAACTCTTGGGCTACTCTTTTACCAACGAATAGTGGGATTGACCGTAATATTATAACGCCCCCACAGCTGAAATGGCGAGCATGTTTGGTGAGACGTGGATTCGAACCCGCGACCCGAAGGTTGCGAGTCGAGTGCCCTAACTACATTGCTGGGACATACTTTCAGGGATCGAGTAATCAGCAATTATTTTCCACATACACACGACAAACAATGTCTCCAGATCTCACCCTTGTTGAATGTTAATCACCTCAACTGCTGGCGGTCGGACAGTAGAATTGAGCTGTACTTCACGTTTTCTAACCAATAAAAAGCAATAATAAGTATGAATGGTGATCACATTAAACATTGTTAACACGTTGGCTGTACAAATGTATATAATCAGCGACCTCTGGGAATAATTAATTTGAGCATCAGAGTATTCTTTCCCACATTCTCAGTTCACTTACCAATTATTAAAGCTCTCTGTTGATTAGTTTTCAAATTATGGAGATTATAATAAGACAACTAATTTCAAAATAACCCGTGTATATATATATATATATATATATATATACACATTATGGTTTGGTTTGAATTTTGCGCAAAGCTACACGAAGGCTATCTGCGCTAGCCGTCCATAATTTAGCAGTGTAAGACAGCTAGTCATCACCACCCACAGCCAACTTTTGAGCTACTCTTTTACCAACGAATAGTGAGATTGACCGTTACATTATAACGCCCCCACGGCTGAAAGGGCGAGCATGTTTGGTGGGACGTGGATTTCAACCCGCGACCCTCAGATTGTGAGTCGAGCGCCCTAACCACCTGTCCATGCCGGGCCTCATACATTATGACCTTGTATACAAATATATGTTAATTAACATTTATTTTGGATTTTTACATATACAGTACTGTGCCAATTTGTTAGAGTAACCCATTCCTCTTTTAGTTTTGATTAGTTATGTCTATGAAATATATCTACTGTAAGTTAAAACGTTAGAAAAAGGGTCAATACGAAACTTATTGATTTCTCACTTTATCCATTGCTTTAATATGCTACATATTTAATCTATTTAAATTTGTAAGTGAAAAGCAACATATAGCCACAAATTACTAAGTGCAGTAGATTTTTAAAAGTTTTCCAAGATATTTAATCTAAATACAAGGCAACATTGTTGCATGTGATTGTCTTTAGTTTCTGTGCCAAGTGAAATGTTGTCTACTTTTGTTCACACCTTTGTTTCGTTTAATAGGCTATGATGAAAGCCATCTTTCTTTTTCACTCAGAATTTTTAACATTTTTTTTTTATTTCTTCGAGGGAAATACTTACTACTTGATCTGGCATAGCGTAGCGGTTAGGGCGCTCGACTCGCAGGTCGTGGGTTTGAATCCCATCCCCAAACATATTTTCACGCTGTTGAGGTGTTATAATGTGACGGTCAATCCCATTCGATTAAAGTAGCCCAAGAGTTGGCGGTGAGCGGTGTTAATTCTTTCTAGTCTATCGTTTCTAAATTAGGTACGGCTAGAGCAGATAGCCCTCGACTAGCTTTACGAGAAATTCAACAAACAAGCAAATAATACAGACTGTTTACTGGATTCAAAGTCACTTAAAATGGTTTCATAAACCGTTTTACAATATTATTTCTAGATAAAGAAACCAAGACAGGAAGGTAGAGTGAACAGTGTAAGTGTATTCCTTTATTTCATATAACTGTTTAATGATAATAAAGTTTATATCCACTAAAAACATACCTAGACAGCAGGCAGATCCACAAAATTTCCAAGGAAGAACAACATTAGTGTCGGTTTCTCCAAGTGTGTCAGCAAAGAACCCTGCACACAAGTGATACATTTTTAATTACATCATCTTGTATCTGTTTGAGTATACATGTGTACCCATGACGACACAAAATATGTCACTCCTAGTCTATAAAAAGCACTTACAATAATAATACATTCTCTCTCAGATACATTTGTTACGTCATTAAAAGCGTTTCGGTAAAGAAAACTCGTAGATTTTGTGTTGGTAACAACTACAGAAAATATGGTGTAGTAAATAATCTCACGTTTATAATAGGTTTTGGATATTAATATACAAGCGAATAAAGATAATATACCTTTTATAGTAGATACCACTGTCAATATTAGACTTGCCTTTACCATTAAGTTTTGAATATCAGTGTACATTGCAATAAGTGCAATATTTTACTGTAAGCTTGTAAACTGTAAAATATAAATATGTATTTCTTTTAAATACATTTGTGGGAGGTTTGATTTGTGACAAAGGGTGCAGTCATACATAACTATATTGGCAGTCACTTACCACGGAGAAACTCAACCATGACCGACGATCTTGCCAGCTTGAGAGGTGTATGACCGGAGTATGTAGCAATGGTAGGATCAGCACCATAAGACAGTAACATACGGACTATTTCGACATGATCATTCTCGACAGCGTCGTGCAGAGGTCTAAAGAAGACAACAACTTTATGCAAAGTAATAGGAAAACGAGTCTTAGATAAACGCTTTATGCATTTTTTAACCATCCTAACATGTATTACAGAATTTAAATGGAGAAGCTTACGTGAACGATAACATGTAACATCCATCTTTCTGTAACTCTGAGCATGTGAAACGACAGATACGAGCTTACATCTATCCTAAAGGAGTAAAACGTTAATTCTGTTCAGCATATTAAAAGATTTATAAATATTCATTAGAATTTATAAAAGTCAATAGCACAATATTAACAGTCTCGAGTAAATTGATCTGTTAAAATATTATCTTATAGGAATTTCTGGTTGTGTGTAAGTACAGATCAAGGCAACATATGTTTTCTATTTAAGATAACTTTAAAAAGATCTCTCATATCTTGAGTCAGTTATAAATTATATGTGTAAAAAAGTAATATTTGATTCAATACCTTACAAAAACAGTGTTCCAATTAATACTAAATTCAAAAAAACCAGATCCCTAGTCAGTGCTTCCAATTTAAAGCTAGAATCACATCATTTCTGTAATCAATAAAAATAAATCTTGAAAGGTAGGGTAACGGAGCATTAGCAACACCTTGAGAACCAGGACTACAAAATAGGTAACCAAAGTTTCTCATAACCACGAAATATTACTTCAATTAGTAGTAACATCTGGAGAAATATAAGGACTTTTAATAGTACTAAAATCTAGTTCACGGTTTTAATACATGAATATTCTTATCATCATACCTATCCTTCTTTAAAGATAAATTTATGTTACTTAAAAATTGGGTACGTTTTTAGGTTCGTTTATCTTTAGAAATCCACTCTTGATCGTTTTCAACCAACACATGAGGAATATTAACGACAATTTCAAACTACCTTTGTGTTTACACAGGTTGTTTTGCCATAGAACCAATTTATTGTAATTGGTGGTAATAGGGAGAGGTTTTATATGCACATTTTACCCATTTGCATTTATCCAAGTTCACTTCCAGTTTTAAATCAGCCCCATCCTATCAAAAGCCCTAGTAGACATCAGTGAAGAAATTCAGTGTTGATGGAGACTGATATAGTGCAGTCTGTGGTGTCTTTGTATCAACTACGTATAGCGTATATCAAAGTGGGAGTCTCTGTTATCAAATTTGCTAGTAAAGTGCATACTGTTTATATGTGTTCCTTATGTGCTGTCTGCTAAGGAAGATAGATAGTGAAACTATGGTAAGTATTTTTATTTTAACTATATTTCACTGTGAACTCTCCTTCAGCGGGACAGCGGTAAGTTTACGGACTTGCAACGCTGGAATCCGGGGTTCTATTCCCGCGGTAGACACGGGAGATAGCCCAATGTGACTTTCTTTTAAAAGAACAAACAAATACAGTGAATGTCAGTGTCTGTTGTGATATCGATGTTGTGTTATGTGTTTCAACACTTCCACCTTCACTTCCAGTCTTTACTTGTTTTCGTACTGCTTGATAATTAAATTCTATTTTTTCTCCTGTCATTGCGAGGTTAACCTAATTATATCTTTTAGCCGAAATAGTAAAATCCTAAGATATTGAATAGTTTAGTTGATACTAAAAATCTTGAAAATATGGCCTGCAAAACAGCACAAACATGAAAACTAGTAAAGTTAAAATATCGCTTCAGTTGGTAGAGTAACAATAAAACACAGTGATTGTATTAATAATAGGATATTCAAAGCTAAAGCCAGAAAACCGTACTGCCATCTGTACTAAAATCTTGAAAAACAGTACCGCATCACAGTATTCCAGCCAGTACTGAGATATTGAAAAAAGGGTAAAATATGTTACAGATAACTTTAGGATTATGAAAATTGAAATACTCAACACTATTTCAGTTAGCACGAAGCAGAAACGCTGGCTAGTGTTAAAACGTGGTAATGTGAAGTTAACAGCTTCACACATCAGATTTCCTCATTTTCTTTTTTGGTCTGGTAAACGTAAGGGTTATAACTCTGGTTTATTTATCAAATCGTGTAATTGTGGTAAGAGATATACTTAAGTAAATACGTTTTTCACTACATCGAATCATACCTTATACCGCCTGCTGCACTCGCATTGACGTCACTTCCATATTGCACCAGGGCGCTTACTATCTCGAGGTTCCCTTGCGAGCAGGATTCATGCAGAGGAGTGTAGCCAGCGTTGTCACGTGCATTGATGTCACAATAATTAGTTTCCAGGCAATACAAAACAATTTCCTGTAGAGACCAAAAAAACAACAACAAAAAACATCATAAGTCACACTTCATTAGAAGCATGACTATATTAAACAGACTGCATGGGGGAAAAGTTCAGTTTCTGGTTAGTGTGATCGAGATACTCTCATCCAATTATTTTTGCAGATACGAAAAAGCTACAGATCTTAAAATTTAAGTGTCATTTAAAGTAAAACAATAAAAAACTGAACACGTCTGTATATAAAGATATTGCGGTGTGTCAAAAAGTTAGAAAAGATGAAACTCACCCTCAAAAAAGAACAAAAAAACAATCAAATCAGCCTACGTTTCACCATTACAGCTTCATCAGGGCTAATACAAAAACTGATCAGTTTCGAATTATTTTTGTACTAACCCCGATGAAGCTGCAATTGGAAAACGTAGGTTGAAATAAAAAAAATTATCGTCTGGAGAGTAAGATCGTTTTTTTTCTAACCTTTTATCAAAATGCCTAAATTCCTCCAGCATGTACTACTACAAATACTGAAAAACAATAAAATATTAAAGTTTGTACATTTAGGTTCTTAATTATACAGTACTGTGTACAGTAATCTAAAATGAAATTTAGGTCCACTATTAGAAAACAAGTTTACCAAACTTTGTCCTTGTTGTCTACTGGTGGTACTATCACATAAATTGACCTACGTGCAAGTATCAGATAGATAACGGGATGATCAAACAGGAAACGTGTGGAGTGATCTGCAGTTGAAAACTTGACTGATTTTGAAGCCGTGTGAGAAATAAACAAACTTGTTTCTATATCCAACTGTTGTTCAGTAATAGAGGATCTAAACTTTATCTTAAATACGTAATTTTTCTTAAAATATACAATTGAAAGATTAGATTTACTAAGCCCTAATCGGCAATAGATGGTTATTTGGATTTGAAGATATTAAAACTATACTTGCTATTAATAACAATAATTTAATAAACGTCCATAATTTGTAATAGAAAGAATGCTTGTTGCTTATATTTATGTTCTATACATACTTCATTAGTTTAGAAATATTTTTATTTTCAGACATTTCAAAAAGCAATGTTATTTTCAGTTTTGTATGTCATACAAGAGATGCTCCATAAAAACGAAGAAAAGCTGATTAGAAAATTAATCATTTATAATAAATTTGTATTAACATAACAAGATTTTCCCTTTATTCTCCAGACATAATACTTTTGGTTTTAGTGGAACTTTTAAGGGTAACTGCCTTCCCACAACTGGCTGCAGATAGTGTAGTGAAAAGCAGTAGGAGTTGAGACGTTGTGGGTATAAGCACTCAACTCCGCACCCTTAATTGATTTTCCATGATTGCTAACTAGTTTTTCTATCAGCGTTTGGATCTTGTCTGATAGATGGGAGATCTCCAACGCTTTTGGGAGCTATCATCACAGACAATTTCCGTTATGACTTCAAGGTTATGACTGGAAATTACAATGGACTTTATAAAATAATTTTAAGGCTTATTTTATATTAAGTTCATTATTGTTTTATAGTGCTGGTTTTAATCGCCTATTACCAACTAACATAATTAATATGATAATAGTTTTGAAGCTATTTATATGAAATATATATAATCAGAGTGAGAAAGAGGCAGGGAGTAGGTCTTTAATAAATATATTAATAGCACTAATTTCATTCAGGGTAGGGTGCTTATGACCCACACTACTAAACAAAAATGGACAGACAAAATCAGATACAAACCATAATGTAGGAAAGGTGTTTTCTATAGAGAGGTATTCATAAAGAGTATTGAATTATTGTTTCGGTTGTTTGCACAGAGTTGGACTATGATTATTTGTGCTTATCCTCACTAATTTTGAAATGAGGGGAGACAGCTAGTCAATTCTTGGACTGTGCGATTTGTTAACAGTAACGGGACACGAACCATGAACTATCGGATAAATTGACCAGCACTAACCACTATATCACGCTCAGCTCTGAAAGGAAGGACACTCTCAGAAGTGGGGATGCACCGTTTGTCAAATTAAACCTTCTTTCGCAAGCCCCAGATGTGAAATAAACTATTTTTAAATGTCAGGAGCAGATAGGGGCGTCGAAGGCCAGAACGACTCACATCTTTAGCTGCCTTTCATAATCTACAGCCAGTTGTGGAAAGGTAGTAATGAAACAGAAAAGGGAGGAAGGGCGATTGAATAACAAAATAAAAAAGGTCACAACAACAGCGTCACAGGAGATGGACGGCGAATAAAACGCATCTTTTGATTATGGCATTCTAGCCGCTATTTGTAGTCAAATACCTGTATCAGCAGGTTACTAACCCACCTTAAGATATTTAGGTTAGTAACTATTATTTAAAAAATAAAATGGAATTTACCTCCTGCCTCTTCCTCGTAACCATAATAATATCTTACGCCATGTGGCAGTCACCGTGATATATATAGAGACACACATTATAAAATTTAGCTGTCAGTTGGTGAGATACTAACGTTTTGAGCATTCTGTTAACAAATAATATCCTCGAAGGATCAAACTGAATGTGTCTGACAGCCAGACGTTTATAAGTACCCTGTAAAATTACCAGTTTAATTAAGCAGAGGCAGGCTTACTTCACTTTACCACTGATAGTTATGGGGGGGGGGAATGTTTCTTTTAAAATTTGAGTATTAATTGAAACGTAGTAGCCATCAAGAAGTTGATTAAATGAGTGTACTCACTTCATAGCCCATCCTTGCAGCTCGATGGAGAATGGTTTCCCCTAAAGCCTTATTTACGATGATACGTTTCATCTCCGGAGGTACGCCATTGGAAAAGTCAATCGGTAGTTGCTGCTTCTGAGTGAAAAACGATACATCTTGATACTGACATCTTCAAACAAATCTATGCCATTTTCTTCTTCTTTTCTCATGTTAAAAACAAACACACTTGGAAGGAGACATTTTATACGTAGCAAAGTATTTAAAGAAAAATTAAACTGTACATATAACTACGTTCTCAAAAACATCGTTAAACTTTTTTGCAATCTTCTCAACTTTTAAAATTAAAACCTAACTACATTCTTAACCTCTTTATATTATTACACTTTCCTTTGTTTCTTAATCGTTAACCTCCTACGTTCTTGGTGATGCTTACTAATTGATTACTCTTTTTATGTTAATTAAGAACTATCGATCATCTTCAGTAACGTTCGTCTTATTTCTCATTTTATATCTGATTAAACAAACTGACTTGGTAGAAGCTATATAATGTTATTCGCGTCTTTTTGTCAAAAACCGAGAAATAACCACAAGTATTAAGTATGAAATGTAAACCGATCGAAGTATCCCCTTTTTGTACATATTACATGAGTAGCTAAAAGCCTTCTTATTCACACACACACACACATATATATTATATATCGCATTGCCGTTATCGGTTCAGGTTGTCAACTTATTGTCATAACAGATAAGGTCTGTGGCAATAACACACAACTGCATTGGGGATATCCCATCTAGCAGACAAATTACAAACGCTGATTTTTATCTAGTCAGCGGTTTGTTTGTTTTTAATTTTGCGCAAAGCTACACGAGGGCTATCTGCGCTAGCCGTTCCTAATTTAGCAGTGAAAAACTAGAGGGAAGGCAGCTAGTCATCACCACCCACCGCCAACTCTTCGGCTACTCTTTTACCAACGAATAGTGGGATTGACCGTATTGTTATAACGCCCCACGGCTGAAAGGGCGAACCTGTTTAGTGGGACGGGGATTCGAACCCGCGACTCTCAGATTGCGAGTCGAGCTCCCTAACCACCTGACTATGCTGGGCTTCTCTAGTCAGCGGTTATGCGATATTTGATCATTATGAACTAACTGCACATAGTTTTTTTTATATAATGAAACAAGGAATAGAATAATTCACATATTCTTCACTTTTTACACAATTCTTTATCTGCTTAACTTTCTTTCACAAACTGAACTAAAGAAACTGTTTCTGAAAAGTAGAAAATAAATCGCTGTTCTACCGGTTCACACAAAGTAACCCCTTGATATAAACCAGTTCCAATGGTTCACACAAAGTATCCCCGCGATATAAACCAGTTCCACTGGTTTCATACAAAATATCCCCTCGATATAAACCAGTTCCACTGGTTTCATACAAAATATCCCCTCGATATAAACCAGTTCCACTGGTTTCATACAAAATATCCCCTCGATATAAATCAGTTCTACTGGTTCACATAAAGTATTCCATCAATATAAACCAGTCCTACCGGTTCACACAAACTAGCCCATCAATATAAACTAGTTCTACCAGTTCACACAAACCAGCCTCTCGATATAAGTCAGTTCCACCAGTTCACACTCACACAAACTAACTTCTCGATATAAACCAGTTCTACCAGTTCACACAAACTAACTTCTCGATATAAACCAGTTCTACCAGTTCACACAAACTAACTTCTCGATATAAACCAGTTCTACTGGTTCACACAAATAAGCCTCTCAATATGAACCTGTTTGTGACGAGGAGTATTTTCTGGGAAGACTCTGCTCAGAAATATATCTCGTATAATAAAGGATATTCTCTATTGTCCTCCAGAACCCCGATGGGTGACATGACATCAAGTTAATACATATTAGTAAACAACGCTAAAATGTCTTATAACTCACGGTTCAGATTAAGCTCACAATTCACCATTTGCGATAAATTTTTGTGCTTTGGTAAAAACAAAATACTTTCCGTTCTCCATCGTGGCTAATGGAAAAATTGTGATGAAATGAATATAGCGGAAATGAGGCATTCGCGAATACATTTTCACAGATTGCATAGCTATGTCATAATTACTGAATGGAACCACAGGCTAGTGGTGAACATCAACGCCAGAAGTAAGAGAGGAAATAATGAGGTTTCAGAGTATACGAATCTGCTAATGGGTATTATTAGTACGTGCCTAAAACGGCGTCAAACAAAAACTGTGAGGTATAATCGATCAGACTCAACACTATGCAATCACACCGATCACAACTTCATTTGTGTTGTATCATTATTTAGGTAAAAATGTATTTACACAATTAAAATTAAACTGTTTCAGCAATAGTGTTCACATGCCACTAAATGAATAAAAACCAGTTGTGTTTATGGTTTTTTTTGTACGTATACTCTTCACTATTACACATTACTTGTAAAACATGATTATAATTTATTGCGCAAAGAGTTCCGAAATTGGCACTGTCCGTGTCAATTGCAACACATACGATGATGCAAATATTTATTTCCCTATATTTCCCGCGCTTTACGATTCTTGCGTTACGGAAAAGAAGCCAACGTCTTTATCCAGGTACTTTAAAGTGTATAAACTCCGAAAAATATTAAAAAACACACGAGTTAATAAGTTAGAGAATAGTAATATTCGAAGAATTTGTATAATAACTTTAACCAAACTGTACGATAAGTACTCAAAATTCATATTGGAAAACATTGAAGTACCACCCAAACATTTTGCAAAATTTCTTCTTTTAATGTGGGTTATTGAATTAATATTTCTTAAGTACAAGTAAGGTAAGCATTTAAAAACTCACTTTTTCTAGACTGTCATCCAAAATGCCCTCTAAGGAAGCCGAATTATCTTGTTTTTTTAAAAGTTCCTTCTCCAGAAGTTTTTTTACACTAAGTACTTTTGAGTTTTTCTTACGATGGGGCTTGGCAATCATGTCTAGGCCTGACTTTAATCGCCGTCGTTTTACCGCCTGACAACTGCTTGTTAAGCAGCGCTGACGCCATATTAGGCTTAGCTGAGAAACGACTTCATTTGATTGCGAAAATATTTCGTCTGCTTCTTTCTTCACAAACTCTTTTTTGTCTTCCTGGTTTGATTCTTTCTGGTCTATATAAATTTTTGACAGTAGCTGTCTCCCGAGCTTTTTTTTCGACTTGACACAGACGCGTTTGGCTTCTTTAGAGAATTCTTCTTCGAATTCAACATTCTTTGATTTGCTTTTCAATAATTTTTCTTTAACACCTATAAAATAATAAATTCCAATATATAAAGGTATATACAGAACTTTTGAGTTTCTTTTATAATTGCCCCTAAAATTCAATATGCATTTATTACGAAATACATTTTTACTTATCTTAATCATAAACAAAATGTATAAATTTGTATTGTATTTTTCTTCTAAGTTTCAACAAACAATGTATCATTAGTCCAAAGAATATTAAGCAGATCTTATTACTACTATATATATATATATATATATATATATATATATATATAATCGAAATTGTTTTTGTCTGTCCGCTAACTTCTCACATACTACTTGATCAATCACCACTAAACTTGCCATGGTGACTCCTACGGTCCCCAGATGTAACTTGAAGGGCAACATTTCCACAAAGTTTTCCACAAAAACTAATTTTGTCTTTGTGTCAGGCTCCTTTTGGTAATACTCAACACTATACATCTAAAACTATAACGATATTGTTGTTAGACCAACGATGTTGTTTATGTTGAACGCATAATGTACACGTAAATTTGTGGTTTATCTTAATTTTCTCTGTTTATAATAGCTTCGGCGATATAAAAGCAAACGGTTAATTTAGAAACTTCTTCTTAAGTTAGTGTTGGAAAGTTTTCAATCAATCAAACAACTACATTACTATTCCAGACAAATGTGGTAACTTAGTTAAGGATACAGAAGAGCTAAAGGAAAGGGTCTTCCCTAATATTTGTCAAAATTATTAATGGTTGTGTAAAAGGGCAATTCTTGCACCTCGAAATGATACTGTTCATGACATAAATTATCAGTTATTGCAGAAGGTTCCCAGTCAGTGTTCCAGTTACAGTTGATGCTGTAAGTTACCCAATTGAACTTCTAAATTCTCATGAACCACCTGGGATACCAGGTCACATTTTGAAATTAAATTAATTCACCAATAATGGTGTTGCGAAATTTTGATCCTCCGAAATTATGTAATGGCACAAGTTTAGTTGTTAATAATTTACTGCCACATGTTATTGAAGCAACCAGTCATGTCAAAGGTAAAGATGTCTTTGCTTTTCACATGGTCAATGCTTCGCAAGATGTTCAAGAGCTGGATCTCATCAAAAACCTGTTTATATTGTCAAAAGGAAGAACAGCCAATGTGGTATATCAACAAGCTTTAATTTAGATTGTGTAATCTTTGTTTTGAAAATCAAAGGTTTAGATACAAATTAAAATGTTATGAAAATGAAATGTTTTAAATAAATGTTCTTAAAAGTAATTTCATTGTGTTTTCAAATACCAATTTCAAGTAATTTGGACATCTAGCACATAATTCTTTTTCAAAGACATAACTGTATACCGAGTGGTCACAAGTAAATAAACACCTAATTTTTCGTCATTTAACTGATTTATACTAACTAATTT